AGCTGGGACGCAGAGAATGCAGAGTCTGGAGGAGGATCAGAGGAGGGCTGGTGTCTGCTGAAATCAGGGAGGCAGAGACAAGGAGGTGCTGCGGCTGCCTAGAGAGGTTTCAGAATCTGTAGGGGGAGTTTTGTCTTCCTCACTGCTACCGACTGCTGAGACAAGGTGGGGGGGAGATGAGGGGGGTGCTGTAGGGGGGGGTCTGCCCTCCTCTCTTCTGCGAACTGCTGAGACAAGGTGGGGGGGAGGAGGTGCTGCAATTATACAGGGAGGTTCAGGATCTGTAGGAGGAGTTCTGGCCTCTCTGCTACTGATTGTTAAGACAAGGGGGTGCTGCGGCTGCACAGGGGGGTTCAGGATCTGCAGGAGGGGTTCTGCCCTCCTCTCTGCTGCCAACTGCTGAGACAAGGGGGGGGGGGGGGGGGGTGCTGCAGCTGTACAGAGATGAGAGGGTTCTGGGTGCTGCAAGGTGGGGGGGGGGAGCTGTACAGTGAGGTTCAGGATCTGCAGGAGGGGTTCTGCCCTCCTCTCTGCTGCCAACTGCTGAGACAAGGTGGGGGGGGGTGAGGTGCTGCAACTGCACAGGGAGGTTTCAGGGTCTGTAGAGAGGACAGGTGGGGGGGTGAGAGAGGTGCTGCAACTTTCTAGGAGGGGTTCTGCCCTCCTCTCTGCTGCCAACTGCTGAGACAATGTGGGGGGGGTGAGGCGCTGCAACTGCACAGGGAGGTTCAGGATCTGTAGGAGGAGTTCTGGCCTCTCTGCTACTAACTGCTGAGACAAGGGGGTGCTGCGGCTGCACAGGGAGGTTCAGGATCTGTAGGAGGAGTTCTGGCCTCTCTCTGCTACTGACTGCTGCAGACAAGGTTCAGGACTGTAGGAGGGTTCTGCTGCTACTGGCTGCACAGGGAGGTTCAGGGATCTGTAGGAGGGGTTCTGCACTTGAGGATAAGACAGGAGGGCGCTTCTAAGTGCAGTATATCCAGGTGAACTTTAATGACAACAGTTAGAAACACTTACAAACTAAAATCAGGCTCAAAAAGTCAGTTCGGACGCGGGGGGGCTCAATCCACTGTGCGAGAACCCGCTATGTCGACCAGCAGCTGAAGGGGGAGCCGAGGATAAGATGTCCTAGATGGCCATCACAAGTTCCAGGGTTGCTGGAACGCATGCTGTCCAGGAGAAGGAGCTCTGCGCATGCTCCGAAACGTGTCGCCGTTCCACATCCATGTCACTTCTGGTTGCGGTCTCCTGGACAGTGTGTGTTCCAGCGATCCTGGAACTTGCGGCGGCCATCTTGGACATCCTACCCTCAGTTCCTCCTGCAGCTGCTGGTCAACATAGCGGGTTCTTATGCGGTGGATAGAGCCCCTCATCCTGACGGATTTTCTGAGCCTGATTTTACTGCAAGTTTGTGTTTCTGTCGTCATTACAGTTCATCTGGATATACTGCACTTAGAAAGCGCCCTCCTGTTCTATCCTCTTCTACATACAGAGTTTGCTTCAACTCCCAGAAGTGCAGCCCGGTGCCTGTGTTCCAGCCCCTCCTCCATCCTTGGTTGTCATCTCTCTGTCCACAGCCTATAGACATTCTCTATTTTCAGAAAGAGATCCTGGAGAATAAAATAGCGGTTTTCTGTTACCATGATATTTGTGAAACCGTTTATCAAGCACAAAAAAAAAAAATGCATTTGAGTTCATTTTAGGGCACAAAAATGCAACATATTTCCCATTTATTTGGAAAACATAAAGGAGGAGGTTGTTCTGAGGAAATGGATACCCAGCATGTCAAGCTTTACATTTTTCTCACCCACGAAAAAAACCCCAAAAAACCCCCAAAATTCGATGTCCTATATTCTTCATAGGCGACGCTTTCATTAGATCGCTTTCATTCGCCTGTGAAGTGTGCACATGTTCCCCGAGGCCGCATCTGCCAGGAGTGTGCATCACCCCCACCCCCACCCTCCCGCTGCTGTAAGGCTTGTGGCGGTGGCGGTAAAAGGGTTAAACAGCCAGAACAGATCATGTCAGCGATGGCGGCGTCCCCTCGGGGGAGATTCTCCCCGTCTGTTCTGGTGACACAGGAAATGTCCACTCAAAAGTCATAGTTTGGTTCTGGTGGGAGCCAAGTCCGTACTTCTCCGCCATCGTTCCTGACTCCGCTTTGTGCGTTCCCGCTCCTTCTGTTCATTCTTTATAATACAAATGAATACAAAATCCAGCAGGGAGGGTGTCAGCCCCCCCATAATGGGCAAAGACCTGGGACCCCAGCACCGACAACTCACCGACGCGCCCCGAGAGGTGGAAGAAGCGATATTAAACCCAAAACCAAAAATGTCTTATATTGCAGCTTACCAATCGTTAGGTGCATTCGTTTTCCCTTTTTTTTTTTTTTTTTTTTTTTCCGTTTTTCCCCCTCTGTTTTCACCTGGTGATCTGCCCAGCAACACACCTTCTGTATTAGAGCGCCCCCACTCTGGAGGAAGGAGCACAGGGGGCACAGGGGGACTGCAGCATTGTCAGTCTAGGGGGGGGGGGGGGGTGTTAGATGGACTAGCAGATTTAGCTACACTAACACATTGAAACCAAACTTCAGCTGACATGTTATAATCCGTTACAGTCACAGTTTTGTTCCTTTTGGATTTCATACTTGGGGGTGTGGGGGGGGGGGGTGTTAGACTAACACATTGAGTCCAGGTTCACACATATGTGATGCAGCGTATCACATGCGATTCGCACAGAAACCGCACCGCATTCCTGTGCAATTCACAGGCGAATTCTGTGCGGTGCGATTTGAGCCATACATTCTGTATAGCTCTAATCGCACTGCACCGCACCAAAAAGGTGCAGGACTCTTCTCAGTTCTTCGCATGAACGGGGTGCAATTATGATGCACCGCGGAATTTGCACAGAAACCGATGCAAATTCCGCACCGCATTAGTGTGAACCCAGTGCTGCCTATCCATGCCCATCAGTGCTGCCTATCTGTACCCATCAGTGCTGCCTATCTGTACCCATCAGTGCTGCCTATCTGTACCCATCAGTGCTGCCTATCTGTACCCATCAGTGCTGCCTATCTGTACCCATCAGTGCTGCCTATCTGTACCCATCAGTGCTGCCTATCTGTGCCCCATCAGTGCTGCCTATCCGTGCCCATCAGTGCTGCCTATCTGTGCCCATCAGTGCTGCCTATCTGTGCCCATCAGTGCTGCCTATCGGTGCAGCCTCATCATTGCACATCAGTGAAGGAGAAAAATTACCCGTTTGAAAAATTTTATAATAGAAACAAAAGAAAATCTTTTTTTTTTTGCAATTTTTTTGTTTATAGCACAAAAAAATAAAACCCACAGTGGGGATTAAATTCCACCAAAAGAAAGCTCTATTTGTGTGAAAAAAATTCTAAAAATGTCATCTGGGTACAGTGTTGCATGACCGTGCAATTGTCATTCAAAGTGCGACAGTGCTGAAAGCTGAGAATTGGCCTGGGCAGGAAGGGGGTGACAGTGCCCGGTAGACAGGAAGGGGGTAGCAGTGCCCAGTAGGCAGGAAGGGGGTGACAGTGCCCGGTAGACAGGAAGGGGGTAGCAGTGCCCAGTAGGCAGGAAGGGGGGTAGCAGTGCCTGGTAGACAGGAAGGGGGTAGAAGTGCCCGGTAGGCAGGAAGGGGGGGACAGTGGCTGGTAGGCAGGAAGGGGGTAGAAGTGCTCGGTAGGCAGGAAGGGGGTAGAAGTGCCCGGTGGGCAGGAAGGGGGTAGAAGTGTCCGGTAGGCCAGGGGGGGGGGGTTAGGGCCTGGGAGGCAGGAAGGGGGTGACAGTGCCCGGTAGGCAGGAAGGGGGGTAGAAGTGTCCGGTAGGCAGGAAGGGGGTAGAAGTGCCCGGTAGACAGGAAGGGGTGACAGTGCCCGGTAGGCAGGAAGGGGGGGACAGTGCCCGGTAGGCAGGAAGGGGGTGACAGTGCCCGGTAGGCAGTAAAAAGGGGGTGGCAGTGCCCGGTAGGCAGGAAGGGGGTGACAGTGCCCAGTAGGCAGGAAGGGGTGATAGTGCCCGGCAGGCAGGAAGGGGGTGTCAGTGCCCGGCAGGCAGGAAGGGGGTGACAGTGCCCGGTAGGCAGGAAGGGGGTGACAGTGCCCGGTAGGCAGGAACTGGGGGGGGTGACAGTGCCCGGTAGGCAGGAAGGGGGGTGTCAGTGCCCGGTAGGCAGGAAGCGGGGGGGTGGCAGTGCAGTGCCCGGTAGGCAGGAAGGGGGTGGCAGTGCCCGGTAGGCAGGAAGGGGGGGACAGTGCCGGTAGGCAGGAAGGGGGGTGGCAGTGCCCGGTAGGCAGGAAGGGGGGTGTCAGTGCCTGGTAGGCAGGAAGGGGGGGACAGTGCCCCAGTAGGCAGGAGGGGGTTGGGTGGCAGTGCCCGGTAGGCAGGAGGGGGGGGGGTGGCAGTGCCCGGTAGGCAGGAAGGGGGGTGTCAGTGCCCGGTAGGCAGGAAGGGGGGACAGTGCCCGGTAGGCAGGAAGGGGGGGTGGCAGTGCCCGGTAGGCAGGAAGGGGGGTGTCAGTGCCCTGTAGGCAGGAAGGGGGTGACAGTGCCCGGTGGGCAGGAAGGGGGTGACAGTGCCCGGTAGGCAGGAAGGGGGGGTCAGTGCCCCAGTAGGCAGGAAGGGGGTAGAAGTGCCCGGTAGGCAGGAAGGGGGGGACAGTGCCCTGAGGCAGGAAGGGGGGGTGACAGTGCCCGGTGGGCAGGAAGGGGATGACAGTGCCTGGTAGGCAGGAAGGGGTGACAGTGCCCGGTAGGCAGGGAAGGGGGGGACAGTGCCCGGTAGGCAGGAAGGGGGGGGCAGTGCCCGGTAGGCAGGAAGGGGGGGGCAGTGCCCGGTAGGCAGGAAGGGGGGGGGGCAGTGCCCGGTAGGCAGGGAGGGGGGGACAGTGCCCGGTAGGCGAGGGGTTAGGAGATTCTTTGTACGCTGATTGTCTGCGGTGCCCAGCCGCTCACCATGCTTTCTCTTTGACCTTTCCAGTGGCGCGGACGACCTTTTGCCCATCCTGGCCTTTGTGGTGTTGAGGAGCGGCATGTCCCACTTGGTGTCAGAGTGCGCCGCGTTGGAGGAGTTCATATACGAGGGGTGAGTACGCGTCTCCTTGCCCGCCATGCACTTTAATGTGACAGTTTATGTAAGTGTCACGATTTTCTGCCCCGCGATTCATTAATGAACGGCAAGCGCTCTGGCCTTGTAATGTCACTCACTTCTAGCCGCCCGGCTGACATGTCTGCTGCTGTGACAGCTTTATTGTCTGACGAGATTTCCCTGAGCTAAATGTTCAGACTGCCGTCTCCCTCGATTTCCTTCGGCCACTCCGACTCTCTTCCCACCACATCTGCTGTCTGGTCGCCCTTTTTTCTGATAGATTTGCTGGGAATTATTTTTTTTTCACACTACTTTTCCTAATGAGGGGAGAATTCTCCGAAGTCACCCACAGATCTAAGAGGACGGTCTGGAAAAAAAAATGAGAGATTTGGAAAATGTATCTAAAAATAATAATTTGTACAAAAAAAAGTCTTTAGTAAAGAGACCCTGTCACCACACCCCTCTCCGCGGGCTGAATCCATAAAACCTCTAGATTGTACGCTGCTTGAGGACGGGGACTGATGGGAATGTACAATATACACTCACCGGCCACTTTATTAGGTCCACCTTGCTCAGGGGATGTCCCTAGGGTTGGTGTCACCCGGTGCCGTAACACGTGGTGTCACCCCTCCAGAGGTGGGCGGTCCCTGTCATGCACACACAGCCCGGTTCTTCCCCTCCCCGTGTCCCCGTCATTCCCCCGGACGGTGTTGCAAGATCAGTTAACCCCGTATAGGTTGCAAGCCGAGGATCCCGGAAAGATGGATTGGATGTGCAGATTGGGGAGCAGAATGGACCAAACTCCGATCCATTATGCTCCCTAATCATCAGATCCTGGTCCATCTTGTGGGGATCGTCGGCTTGCAACCTACACGGGGTTAACTGATCTTGCAACACCGGTCCGGGGGAATGACGGGGACACGGGGAGGGGAAGAACCAGGCTGTGTGTGCACGACAGAGACCGCCCACCTCTGGAGGGGTGACACCACGTGTTACCCGCAGATACCATCATCTTTTGGTGTCGGCCCCGTGAGTGAGATAGGTGTCACCCAGTGAGGCACGCACCCACCTAGGGACGCCACTGACCTAAGAAAATCTCCCCCACACCATGACACCACCACCACCAACCTGAACCAATGATACAAGGCAGGATGGATCCATGCTTTCATGTTGTTTACACCAAATTCTGACCCGACCATCTGAATGTCGCAGCTGAAATCCAGACTCATCAGACCAGGCAACGCGTTTCCAATCTTCTATGGTCCAATTTTGGATATAGTGAATGCGGGGTCCGGGGAGAGCGGGGTCTGGGGAGAGCGGATATAGTGAATGCGGGGTCCGGGGAGAGCGGATATAGTGAATGCGGGGTCCGGGGAGAGCAGATATAGTGAATGCGGGGGGTCCGGGGAGAGCGGATATAGTGAATGCGGGGTCCGGGGAGAGCGGATATAGTGAATGCGGGGTCCGGGGAGAGCGGATATAGTGAATGCGGGGTCCGGGGAGAGCGGATGAATGCGGGTCCGGGGAATAGGGATATATGCGGGGTCCGGGGAGAGTGGATATAGTGAATGCGGGGTCCGGGGAGAGCGGATATAGTGAATGCGGGGTCCGGGGAGAGCGGGATACGGCGGGGAGAGGGGGACGCGGGGTCCGGGGTCCCGGGGAGAGCGGATACGGCGAACTCGTGAATGCGGGGGTATTGGCGGTCCGGGGAGAGCGGATACGGCGAACGCGGGGTCCAGGGAGAGCAGATATAGTGAATGCGGGGTCCGGGGAGAGCGGATACAGTGAATGCGGGGTCCGGGGAGAGGGGATACAGTGAATGGGGGGTCCGGGGAGAGCGGATATAGTGAATGCGGGGTCCGGGGAGAGCGGATATAGTGAATGTTGGATTTTATGACTTCTTACCTGGAAATGTCTCTTTCTGCTCCTCTTCCTCAGGTATCTGATCGGAGAAGAAGGATATTGTCTGACCTCCTTGCAGAGCGCTCTGGTATATCTGGAGTCCCTCCCGGTCCCCCCATCACCACCTGCTATCTGAGGGGCCAATACGGGAATATCTTAAAATGCACCTTATCTCTGTAGATACAGCCAACGGCACACACTGGTCAATCTGCTCCCCATGAATGTGAAACTGAAAACCAAAGGGGGTATAGAACTGAGCAACTGAACCCCAAATTCTGACCTCCCAGCCTCCTTCAATCTGCACCCCAAAAGGTTCATCCGCATTGATGAGCTGCAGCGGATTCTGGATTCAGGGCTTTATTGACTAAAGCTGCATCACCCAGAATCCTGTGCAGTTCTGGAACCAATCAGCTTACGGGTGTTCTTGCTAACACTTGACTGAACAAGCTGAGGTTGAGCCGGCCGTACGCGGATCGAATTCCAGAAGATTTTTCTTTTGAAAATCTTTTCTAAGAATTTTCGTTTCAATTTCACACCATTAGTGTGGCCACAACAACGGCCGATTTTCAAACGACCATCGAATTTGAGTGATCGGGGCCTGTTGGAAATTTCTTGAAATACAAACTAATGCAGCCCATACACGGGTCGAATTCTGAACTAATTTTTTTTTAGAAAACCTGAAATTTCATGCATTTTGTAACCTGATGGCGCCACCATTGATTTCGAAATTCAACCAACAAAGCCTTTAATTCCCCCTCGTGTTGCTACAGAAAAGAATTTTCGTGGCCAAGAATTTTCTTTTCTTTCCAGGTCGCGGCTCATTTCTTTTTCACTTCTATTTCCAGCACGATTTTCCCATCACTGATTCAAAATTCATTAGTTTTTCAAAAAATGTTCCAACATGCCGATCACTCAAATTTGATGGTCACACAAAAATCGGCCGTTTCTGTGACCCATTAATGGTGCAAAATTCGAACGAAAATTCCTAAATAGATTTTCAAAAGAAAATTATTTCGGAATTTGACCCGCATACAGCCGGCTTAATTTCTAATCAATGATGGGAGAATCGTGCGAGAAATGTAATCGAAAAAGAAATGAGCCGCGACCTGGAAAGAAGAGAAAATTCTTGGCCACAAAAATTCTTTTCTGTAGCAACACGAGGGGGATTTGAAGGCTTGGTTGGTCGAATTTCGAAATGACTGGTGGGCACCATTGGATTGCAAAACGCACAAAATTTCCAATTTTTCTAAAGAAAATTAATTCAGAATTGGATCCATTTATGGCCTGCATAAGGCTGGAGCACTCAGAATCTGGTGATCCTGTGCATGGAAGCCAAAGAGCCGATATGAATAAAATGCTTGGAGTATGCGCAAGAAAGTGATGCCCCAGCTGGACTTTCAGATGTGACCCGTCCAAGCTGCAACCACTAAAGTCCATGCAATCGCAGTATGTCGTTCGCATGTCATGCATTGTGCATGGAACGTCGCTCTCTGCAGGTCCCGGGCATAGCTGTTGCTCAGGTTTATACCCCCTGACAGTATTCCCCCCCCCCCCCCCCCCCCCCCCCCCCCCCCCCCCTCCCCCCCCCCCCCCCCCCCCCCCCCCCCCCCCCCCGTTATTCCTGAAAGATGCCCATTGGTGTCTAGAAAGATAAGCTTCCCTCATGGAAGAAACATTTATTTGAATTATATTTTTAAAATATTCTTGCCAAATATATCGACATATATTTGAAATGCTACAATTTTGATCTTATTCAATACATACATACATACTTACACACATTATTTATATATATATATATATATATATATATATATATATACATAAAAATGTGTGTATGTATTGAATAAGACCAAAATTGTATGTTATGTGTATATATATATATATATATATATTATATATATATATATATATATAATTTATATATATATATATATACAACACACGTACATAACACACGTACATACATATACACACACTGTATGTTGAAATGTGTTTTTTATTACAAAATATATGAAAATATTTTAAAAAAAAAACATTCCAAATATACTGTATGTCTTTAAAAATACATATCTACATTTTTGGAATGCCTTTACAAAAATATGTAAAAAATATATGTTAAAATGACTTTTTTAAATGTTAAAAAAAAATCTGAATATATCTAAAAAAAAAATATCTTTTTAAAGATAAAAAAAATCTGAAGAATATATTTTAAAAAAATACATTTTTAAAAATATATATTTTTTAAATATAGTCAGATTTTTTTTTTAACATATAAAAAAGTCATTTTAACATATATTTTTGTAAATGCATTCCAAAAATGTAGATTTGTATTTTTAAAGACATACAGTATATTTGAAATGTGTTTTTTTTAAATTATTTTCATATATTTTGTAATAAAAACACATTTCAACGTTTGTGTGTGTATATGTATGTATATAATTTTTTTTTTTAAATATATTGAATACGGCCAAAATTGTGGCATTTAAAATATATTTCAATATATTTGGGAAGAAAATTTTTTAAATATATTTGAAATATATTTTTCTTCCATGTGGGTTTGTAGGCAATTTAAAGGAGAACTTCAGCAAAACGCATTGCGTGGAAAGCAGTAGATTACCTGTGTACGATGTTCTCGGATTCATTTCTTCAAGGCATAATTAGTTGCTTATGAAAAATTGGTCTCAAAGCCGGTCGTCCTGTTTATGGGGAACTGCAGACAGTAGCTAGCCAGATCTTTGTGACTCCCCATATATGCAAGCTACATTTATTAGAAATGTGCGCTCCGCTATGGGGACCAGATTGGTGACCATTAGGCCTCCTGCACACGAGGCATTTGCCTACTTCTCCTAGACGTCTTTCCTCCCGGCAGCAACGTTTTTGGCAGTGAACACCAGCTGGTGTTCTCCTTTAAATGACTACTTTATTGATCTACAGAATCACCGGAGATGAGGCTGAAAGGGATGACCGGGGTGTTGCCTGTAGGAACCAGTAAGTTAGGTGACAATTTCTAACTGTAACTCTGGAATCTGGTTCTTTGGACAATTTACATTTTACTAAAACATATGATTACCTACACTGTATGAGCAAAAGTTTGTGAACACCTGACCATCACATGTATATGAACACTCCAAATGATTGATGTTCCCAGTGAATGGTACTATTAATGCTGCAGCAAACAGACATTTAAGACAGTTGTGGCAACAGTTTGGGGAAGGTCCTTTTTCTTTCGCCCCATGTCTGTCTCCTGTGTACAAAGACAGCTCCATAAAGACCTGGTTTGGTGTGGAGGAACTCGAGTGGCTACACAGAGCCCTGACCTCAACCCTACTGAACATCTTTGGGATAAACTGGAACACCAATTGTGAGCCAGGACTTTTTTTTTCTGGTGCCCAACGTGAGGCCCAGCATGTGAAGCGGGTCTTCTCATCCAACATTGGTACCTGAGAGGTCCTGGTAATACTCCACCATACAAAGACATTGTAGACAATTGTGCTCTTCCAACTTTGTGGTAACAGTTTGGTGAAGACCCTTTTCTGTCCCCCATGACCATCCCCTGTGTACAAAGCCAGCTCTATAAAGACATAGATGACCAGTTTGGAGGAGAAACTTGACTGTCTTGTACAGAGCCCTGACCTCAACCCTACTTTTGGGAGATCTTTGGTCTTCTCACCCAACATCAGTACCTCCCCTTAACCCTATGTAACACCTTTGGCATGAGGTTTTTCTCACCCCAAAAGTGTTCAGTAGGTTTGAGGTCAAGGAGGAACTGGAGTGTCTGGCAATGAGCCCTGACCTCATCCCTACTGAACAGCCTTTGGATGAAATGGTAGACCGATGGTGAGCCATGTCTTCTCATCCATCTTCAGTACTTGACCTCACAAATGGACACAAACTCCCATCAGACCCCCCCCCCCCCTCCAAAAAAAAAATCTTGTGGAAAGCCTTCCCAGAAAAGTGGAGGATGTTATAGCTGAAAAGGGAGCAACTCCATAATAATGGTCATGGGGGAACTCCATAACAGTAGCCATGGTTTTTGGAATGAGCCATCCAAGGTCCACAAAGACATGGTTTGGTGAAGACCCTTTTCTGTCTCCTCATGACTGTCCCCTGTATACAAAGCCAGCTCCATAAAGACATGGATGCCCAGTTTGGTGTGAAAGGAACTCCAGTATCCTGTACAGATCCCTGACCTCAACCCTACTGAACACCTTGAACGTTGATTGTGAGCCACGTCTTCTAGTCCAGCTTCAGTATCAGACCTCACAGAGGGGCACAAATCCCCACAGACACCCCAATGGTCAGGTGTCCACAAACTTTTGGTTCGTTTATATTGAATACACTGGGGCTGAAGACATTCTATAGTTACTGATCAATGCTTTCTCTGGCACTGAATTTGCAATGTCCATGAGCTTGTGGAAATGATGATGTTATTACAGGAAACCTGTCATTGGGACTACTTTGGCTTCCTCCTGAAAATGCTAGTTGCCTGTCTGTGAAGGTAAATCTCTGACTTCTGACCTGAACAAGAAATGTCAGGCTTTGCTATGCCTTTCTGGTTCAGAAGTATTGAGGTGCACATGGTCCTTTTCAGAAGGAGGTCCGCTATCTGCCAATGTATTTCTTTCATGACTGGTTGCCTTTAAAGTTTTTATATAAATGCCAACTGCTGGAACCCGACATAGATAAAGTCGTATCCTCTAAGGGTGGCCATAGAATATCAAATGCAGGACTGTTGCGCCCCTGGATGCTACATGGGATGCTTCTCTTTCAGTTCTTTCCCTCCGGGGGAGATTTACTAAAGCTGGTGGACTTCAAATGTGGTGCAGCCATGCATGGCAGCCAATCAGCTTCTAAGGTCAGCTTGGCAATAACACCTGGAAGCTGATTGGTTTCTATGCAGAGCTGCACCGGATATTGCACTCGGGCATGTGTGTTTGTACCTACCTGTTGGATCTTTTCCTGTCCCCTCTCTGGTATCTCTGTCACTTATCTCATGCTTTCGTCTAGGGAGGGGAAGTGCAGGAACCACAGCCCTCCATGAGTGACAGTCAGCTAGTGTTCTGTGGTCTGTTATAAACCTTAACTCTGGGCCAAAAACTTGTATTTTTCATTATATTTTCTAATAATCACAAA